TTTTGCATCAATTCCCATTTCATTGTTCTTCTTGAAATCAATCCCAGATTGCATCAGCAATTCGATTGAATCATTTGCAAAAATATCTGCACTTGTGTCAAATTCACGGAAGTTGAATTGCCAAATGCAATAGCGCTCGCTCCCACAAGTAGGTAAGTTTCCATTTTCATCGGAAAATGTGAGACCCAACTGAATCAACTTCAACATATCAACATTATCCTTCAAGTTCTGATAGTTATACTCATTGATATGCTTGAAATTGCCAACAGGGCGAAGCACCACCCCAGGGAACTCAGTGTCCATGGCAATGTAAGGATAGGCATCCACAATTTCACGGATCAAAGCAAACTCCTCCTCAAGATTATTGCTCCATACCTCTCTAATTTGGATAGAATCACTTTTTGGTAACACAGACATGTTCGTAGCAAAAAGAGTTGAATCTGGCGATGTTTAGAATAAGCAGGTCTGCAATTTGAAGGAAAAACGAAGTATAATCAGACTAAGCATTCTAAAGAGCCTGATGATGAAATCAATGTGAAGCCTCTTCGCAGAACAAGAATGACATAGCAACCAGATGGCATAGTTACATTTTCTTATTCGATTATAGTCTTGCCTTCTCTGAGATTGGAAACAGAGAAGGCAAGTTTTATAAATACAAAACAAACTTATCCAAGTTTTACTTATCACTTATGCTATGTCTAATGCATACAGTTTTTCTGTTAGAATAGAAATTCCTACCACATTACATGATCTATAACAAGACAAGCTCTACCCACTTCCACAGTTCTCCAGAATATTTCTAGTGGAGGCACTCCTAATATTTTTGTAGAAGGAAGTTATGTTATCCAGAAAGCTTTGGGTAGAGTACTTATGCATGAGACCAGTGAGCAAAGGGAAGTAAAAGCAATACACCAAGCCTCAAAAATATAGGCACAAACTCATATGCAAGTGCTGATCACTTGTAAATGGATTCTTAGCAGAACTATTTTAGTAACCTAACCATTCAAGGAGCAGTTGCTTCTTTTAAAATACAAGAGAAAAAAATTATGGGCATGGTTTTTAAAGCCAAGTCACAAGTCATTAAAATGCAAGAAACTAGTCCCTCTAAAAGATAGTTCTAGCTTCAGATTGTGACTGCAAATTGTTCAAAGAAGCCAGAGCAAGGATCCCATTTGTCTCTTTCTTTATAACATCATTTGATAAAACTTCGATTAACTACATATAGAAAAGGAAACACAATTCCTTTTTTTAAATAAAAATGAAACACCAATTCTAAGACATATAACTTACATATTAAGAAGGCCTGGGTACAATCTTCATCACATGGTTGACTCCAAAGCTACAACTACAAGAATATCAGGACAGCTAACACGGCACGACAGACTATCCTGCTTACACAATCATAGAACATTACAAGTTAAACAACTAAGGTCAGAATCTGAAAATCAAACAGCAGAATAGGTCATCAAGCAAGGGCCTTATATAAGCACAGCAAATTGGTCTTGTATCAAGAGACAGTACAACACAATAACACAATTTAAGCAGAAATTAAAAGAAGAAAGGAATGTGCTTACGTTCTGTGTAATCTATAACTTTCAATCTGTAAGTTTTACTCCATCTTGCTTTTCATCAACCAAAACATGCTGGTAAAATGAACTGAACGATAATGGAAATAAATGTAATTGATTAAAGCACACTCAAGCTGTCAAGAAGAGATAGAATCTGTGGATAGTATAAACCTTACAAATACAAATGTATAGAACATTTTTATATAAAATCGACATACATAAAAGCATAACCTTGTTGTTGAGAATCATATTTTGAGGTTTCAAACCACAGTAAAGTAGGATGAAATTTGAGTAATCATACTTTTCAAGTTCAAAAATAAGCAAGTAAAAGCCGACACAAAGGAACTCAATTACCAGCACAATAATGTTTCTTTTTCAATCCTCTGCTCCTCCACCCCCTTTCCAATTTCCATTTTTCAATGAAAAGAGCTCAAAACATGGAAATGAAATTAAAAGTAAAACTAACCAAGAACGATAAACACAATTAAACTTCTGCTTATTTTCCCTCTTCAACAGCTAAAACCATAAAGACTGTTTTCTCTCCTTTTCCTCTACGATTGCGACCAAAAACAACTAGCATAATCCCAATTAACCTTTAAAAGAAGTACTCCTCTTAGGGGACCCATTTTACATATGATACACTTCCTATTTGAGATCGCATAATTCTTTATCAGACTATAATAATTTCAAACATTTCTTAAAAAAAAAAAATCACGACTTCATGATCTAAAGAATTGTTGTTCAAACTTCTACCAAAGATTGAATGCTTTGACCCTTAGTACTCCTAATCACCGTTTTGGGACAAAAGGAATGAAGCAAGTAAAAATAGTAAAGCAAAAGGTTGAATTTTTGTTTATGACCAAAAATTTAGTTACTTCAAATTAAAAGAAAAAAAGAAAATTGATAGTACCCAGGAAATTGATACGCAAAATGAAGCAAGATAAAATTCATAGTAATATAAAACTCATAGTGTAATAAAAAAAAATCAATTTTTGTTTATAACCCAGAAAATGAAAGAGGAAATTGATCGTTCCAAAGCTATTAACTTAAAACTTTTTTCCAAAAAAATAAAATAAATTAACCAGACAAATTGAGTCAACTGGATCTACAGAGAAGCAGACATAGAGTTCGATTCAGATGAAAAAGCTTAACTTTCAGCTAAATCGAACATCAAAACTTCAACTTCACTCAAAAATTGAAGCCACTTTGTTACAGCTTAGATGCATAATCACTTCAAAATATAGATAAAACATCATTCATCAAATCCTACTTTCGATTCATACATACATAAAACAAAAACCCTAAATAATTTTTTTCCAAAAAAAAAAAGGAGGAAGTGAAGTTGAGGTATAAAATGGATAGATCAAGAGTTTAAAATAGAAAATAACCTGATCTGAGAAGAGTGAAGCTAAGTCAAAATCAAAGAGCTCATCAAAGATGAAGAAGAAAAAGCAGAGGCCCTTATGTGAGAAAAGTGTGATGTGTAGTGATGGTGTTTTCTTCTTCTTTTTTGCTTTTTCTTTTTT